TACGGAGGCGCCGGCCCTCTTCCGCGCTCGCAGCGGCCTCCATTTTGTCGGTAAAGGTAGAAGGAGCTCGGTCGAAGACGGAACTGGGGTCCGTGACTTGCTCGTGGGCAGTGTTTGGTCCGTGCATCGTTTCTCCCTGGGAAGGGAGGGAGGTTTGGAGGTCGAGAGGGAGTCGCCGCTGCCGCCCGAACTCGAAGTCGGTGAGTGTGGCGGGGGCGGCCATGTTGGCCACCGCGGGCCCCATTGTTGGGCCGTGCTGAAGAGGAAGCCCGGCCGGGCAGCGCGTCTACCTAGCTGAGCCGTGGGGCATAGGCAGCGAACTTGGGGCTCGCATTTCGGGTGGCTGGCTGGGAGTGCGGACCTTGTGACAAGTCTTGTGAAGGGTGTATTTACTAGTTTGACTGATTAGAACAGTGAGGGACCTGGATGACTGTTCACTTTTGCGAGGCATGCGTGGTTAAAAATGTTACCATTAAGGGACTGGGAGTATAGAGTCGTAACTAAAGCATCATGTATGTTGTTGGGAAGAGCCTTGGTGTGAAAATGTGTGTGGGGTTGGAAGCAGAAAATCCGGACGGAACTTAAAAAACATGGTCTCTAGTTCCCTTGGTGTGGTTACAAAAGCAAATGCTTGCTAAGTTTGACTTTAAAACGTGTAGACAGGTAGGCTTTACAAGATATCGCGAAGAGTTTTAAGTTGACATTTATGAGACCATCAAAGTCATGGTCTCATACATCTTTTAGAAGCTTTGTTTAAGTGATCACTTTCTTGGATTGTTTTCAAGTAACTATTTTTCCTTTTCTAGTTAGGACTTCTCTCAAATTTGTGTGCTGAGGAGACTCGATGTTGGCCTCAGCTCCTAGGCTGAAATCAGCAGATTGGCTCATGAAAACTTATGTTTTGAGACAAAGAAAAGGATCTAGCAGAAAGCAACATCTCTTATCCTGGGCTTGGCAGCAGGGAAGAGGACAAGGAGTGGAAATCCTGCAATCTGAAAAGCAGACTGAAAGGTATAAAGATTCACATCATGAGGCTAATATTTTATGATAGATGCAATTCTAAACCACTAAGACTGCAGTAATGCTATAACCCTGAAATCCTAGCATTCAAGAGGTTGGAGTAAAAGAGCTTAACATTGGAGACCAGCGTGGTATAAAGAGACCTTGCCCAAAAGGGGTGGTGGTGAATTAAATGTATGGGTCATTTTCTTAGGCTGCACACTGAATGAATAAATGCTGTTAATTTTATTTAGCTTTCACCAACAACTGGTATTTGACTCAGGACTTGCTTCAATATTTTTGAAGTAAATGGTTTGGTGAGACATCATGACAGCTAGTCTTTCTTTACTAACACTTCTATAATTGGAGGTATGGAAACTTCAAAAAAGTACTTGAAATTTTACTAGTTTCCATTTATTTACTTACAGGTGACAAAGAAGCTGAAGATGGGTGGTGGAGAGAGGTATAACATTCCAGCCCCCCAATCTAGAAATGTTAGTAAGAACCAACAACAGCACAATAGACAGAAGACCAAGGATCAGAGTTCCCAGATGAAGATTGTTCATAAGAAAAAAGAAAGAGGACATGGGTACAATCCATCGGCAGCTGCATGGCAGGCCATGCAGAATGGGGGAAAGAACAAGAGCCTTACCAACAACCCAAATTGGAATGCTAGCCTATCAAGTCCAAGCTTGCTTTTTAAGCCTCAAACTAACCAGAACTATGCTGGAGCTAAATTTAGTGAACCACCATCACCCAGTGTTCTCCCCAAGCCACCAAGCCACTGGGTTCCTGTTTCATTGAGCCCTTCAGATAAGGAAACAATGACATTTCAACTTAAAACCCTACTTAAAGTACAGGTTTAAAATCTTAAGTACTACTTTTAAATTTTGTGATGGTTACATAGCCATCAGTTGGTTTGAGTTTAGGGAAGTTTTATATAAAACTGCTAATTTACAAGAATATGCAGACATTTATGTACTGTATGGAATGTCAGGATAATTGTACTTGGTAGTTTTGCTTAACTAAATTGAAGCTTAGATTTGGGGGGTCAGTAACCAGCTTTTTTAGAATTGTCTAACAGGAAACCAAACAGACAATAAGCATTTAGCTAATATACAAGACTGCAAACAAGGTGTACAATTGAGTTACATGTTCTAGGGACCCAAATTATAGCATCATGGGCATCTTTGTAAGTAGTTGCATCTGTTTGTGGTAAATGTGTAAAGAGAATTTAGAGCTATTAGAATTAGATAAAGTAGACAGCCCAGTGGTCATTCCTTAAACGCAGTGGCTAGGCATTTATGTACCAAATCTTTTTCAAAGAGCATTTTTATTTGATAGCGTCCTACAAAGCTTGCTTTGCAGGGAGGTGTATGTGAAAACTAAATACCTAGGGAAGAAAAGAGCCATGTAAATACATGTAATCTTATAACGTATGTGAAGTTTTATGGCCTTTATTCTACAAAAGACTATTTTGTGTGAATTTGCTGAATGTAAGACCATGAACTTTTTTTTTTTAATGCTATGGCCTAATTTTAAAGGTCTCCAGTTTTAAAAAAAATTGCCCTTGTGCTTAAGTGCCAGTGTATTGATGTGATTGTGACCCATACAAAGTAAATCTTATTGTATTAAATTTTTATACCGAAAGGCTTTAAGCTGTTAAGACATTTCCTGTTTTTAAATAGATTTAAGATTCTCTCCATCTTTTTAAATCCAAAGATCCATTTTGACTATATCAAATCCTAAAATGAAGTGATCCAAGATTATGCAAGTTAACCCAAATAGCAAGTTGCTTTTCAGTGCTTATAAGCAAAATAGCCAGTTAAGTTCAAAACAAATACTGCCCAAATTAAACATTGAGTATTCCAAAAGACAAGTTCATAAAATAATTATGATCTGATTTTGAAGCACAAAATTCAGAAATAAAATCATTTTTCCTCCCCAATAGATTGTTTTCATTTGAATGATTTGTGGTTACCTAATCTTGGGATATGAATGTTGGGTCTGTGAGGTGCTACTGGATCTTCTTTTGAGGCGGGGTCTCTGTAGCATGCTATGATTAAGGGTGTGTACCACCACACCCAGCAGTATATTATTCCTTTTCCTATAGTGCTAATAGTGCAATCGCACAAATGTTGAGCCATGAAAAATTTACCTGTTTTCATGATTACTATCAGGATACAAACTAGCAAAAATGCTTCCAAGTGTGTAGGCAGAGGGAGTGAAGAGTTTGAGGATCCAGGACAGCAAAAGATACCTGGTCTCAACGAAATCAGCAGTTGCATAATGGCTTTCTGGTGGGCAGATCTCCTAAGTGAGAGCACTTTCAATAAGCTGATAAATCCCACATGAAGGCTATACTTTCTCATGCAAACTGCAGGAAGTATTTGGAAGAAAAGGTTGGATTATCATTTGACGTCCTAGTATAATTCTGTGAACAAAGCTAATGTCAATCTTTCTTGTGCTTCTGTGTATACATTTGCTTTTGATGTATACATTAGCCATTTTATTATTAAACACCTCATTTATTAGATGCTAATAAAGTATACACATAAACCCATTACTTAGGAGTCAGAAACACCAACAAATAAAAAGAACACTCATTAAGTCTGGTAGCCACATAATGTATTAAGCTATGTTATTTTGGTGGCAGTGTGTAGTATGATCTCCATGACAACCACCTTACTTTAAATCTATTAAGTACATGTATGAGGATTTCAGATGGCTCTAAATTTTGCAGCTTCCATGCCTCTACCCCCACCCCCAGTTTCAAGGGCAATGATTACATTAAAGAATATAGCTCTAAAACCTCAAAAACAAACTGTCTACAGAAAAACCAAAATTTCTTTTTAAAGCACCTAAAACCAGTTTATTTTACGCTCTCCAGCATTCAAAGCAATGTGATCTGCAACACACCCGGATTACAAAGGCTTTTTAACTTCTTTCTTTACAAACTGTTACTAATGAAATTTACATGCCTCAACTTTTTATGCCCCCAAACTCCACAAAGGGTGAATAGTGAACAAGCTTTACAAATGCACAAACATTAACACTGTTGTAGGAAGAGACAGAGAAAACACTTAAGAGCAAAGAGTCATCTTCCACAATGAATAGACTATCTCAGGAAAACTAATAGTTGAAGGCGAGTTGTTTATTCATCTATCAAGTCATCACCGAAAATTGAGAGCATTTCCTTTCTGGGACACCTAAGGGCTTCGATGATCCCAATTCCTGGCTATTGCTCAAGTTGCCCTATTTTACAAGAAGGAACATTTTTATTATTTCTTTAAAGGGCAGCACAACAACAGACTCAAAAAACCTGAAGTTTGGAAAAGCCAGCTTGAAGTGCCCACGCTCCAAATAGCCTTCAATCTTGAAATATACTTAATCTACTTTTTAACCTTGCTAAGTTAGAAGGTAGTACGGAATGAATGTATATGCAAAAAATTTTGTCCATATGGTGGGGATCCCACAGAAGACAAGTGATTTTAAGGTTAAGTAGGGATATTATTTGGAAAACATACAACTTGGCACAGAAAGTGCTTAGTAATATTGACAGCCTTTAATATACACGGAAAACCACAGTACACAGACTAAGACAATTTAACTCTACAGCTACCAGAACCACGGGGTGGGGGGTGCCTGCTTTCTAATTTACCACACTTAAAGAGCTGTCAAATACTGTTATTGTACTTGAAAGTGAACAAGGTTATTTCCTGGCAAATGGAACCCCTAAAAGTAAAGAAACCCAAACAGTACAATTAAAAAAAAACAACAAAAACCTCATGTGAACACACAACTTAATTTTCTCCTCTATTAGGCCTTACGTTCAATTAGAAAGGAAATGGAGAGGGGAGATAAGAGAACAAAACACCCACGATCTGCACAGATAACTGTTAATACACAGAACCTCTACGTTGAAAACCAATCCAATGCTAATGATTATGTAATGGCATAAAATACATTTAGTTATTTATAATCTTGAAATAAATGCTAAATTCAGTTTTTATCAATTTTTATTGTGTCCTTGAAAATAAAACTATAAAAGCATTTCCAACTTGATTCAAAATAAAAACAGCAACAAAAATGAAGCCAAAATTTTAATTCTCACCTGGTACCTCCTGCCTTCTTAAGTTAGGGCAGACTAAAAAAAGTTTGTTTTTAACACAGATAAAATAACCTTCATTTTACCTCCCTTCATTTATGTGTAATAATCCTACCACATTTTAGAAATTGTTATAAAAGGCTTTACACTTTCCAGATTTTGACAGTTTAAATGTGGCAAAAATACAACAAAAATTCAAAAGTGATGGAATCAATGTTATGATAAACAAGCTTCATATCCTAACAGGGAACCAAGGAATCAAAAACATTTTATAACACTATAAAGTTATTAACTATACACACAGAATATGTCCCCTATAAAATGTACAAGTAGATCACTAAAAGTCTGATCTGGTAAACAATTTTTTTTCCAATACAGAATATAGTTAAGTCCATGGGGTAACAGCTGTCTGCCTCAAAATCTAATTATAGCACCCAGGGTCTGCTTTAATACAAAGTTAAATACTTGTTATTTTGGGGATTATCTATTTGTTTGCCTGAGCCAGGAGTTAACAATTTAGTATTACTCTAGTATATTAACCACTGCACAACAAATCTGCTTATCACAGGTTTTCTCCATTATTTGTAGTTTTGGGATACAAATAGTAGGCAATTTAAAATGGCAGACAACCATAAAATTACTTATCTTTGATAGTATATTGTGTTTTATAATTATATTAGGATATGAACGGCATGAAGTACCACCACAATACACTCAAGATGTGGCCATACTGTAATGATTCTCTAGATTGTGCTCAGTAGATACTTAACTAAATTAATTATCTATTCTCCAATTATCCAGTATAATGTTTTGCTGACAGTAAGGGTTCAGTAAATGTGTGTTGAACATACTGTCTAGGCAAGAGGTGAGAAAGAGATGGGCCCTCATGGTTGGATGTCAAGTATAAGTGGAATTAACCTGGGAAGGAGTGGTTAGATGTAAACTGCACATGGTATACAATAACTCAGATGCCAACAAAACAAACAGTTAAGCAGAAAATACTGGCACTGGAATAAACGAAGGCAAGACCTGCCAACACTGGTATGAGTGGAACTGACCTTTAAGAGATAACCAAGAAAAACTTTATACTGGACCATACCTTTACCATCCAATTTAGTGTGAGACAGACCAAGAGAGGCACTGTTAGAGACTATGGCTGTCTTCCTTGATATTCAGACATCCTAGTTTCCAATAACTTATCATGGATCTGCCACCCATGAGTCAATATTACCTCTTCATATTTAGGGATTAGTTTCCACAAGTACAAAGTTGAATTTCCTTTTATTTGTCCTAAAATGCTTACTTTCAAACTTGAAGGGACTTCAATTATTCCATGTAGTTTTCGATAATTCTTTTATCTTTTCAGACCAGAGTCAAAATATTCGTACAGTATTCATACTGCAGCACCTTCCACCCACCCTTTGGTCGCTTGAACTGCCCTTCTTTGGTTCTTTTTTCCGCTTTCAGATCTTTCTTGAAGTGTAGTAAGCAGAACTGTACTGGGTATTCCAGCTGCAGTTTGGTCTTAAATAAAAGAAGGATGTTTGTCAGTTTGGTTTTCTCTTTATTCTTCTCTGTGGTATACAGGATTTTGTTAGTTGAACTGGATGTAGCAGCTTACTGGGCCATATTTTCAAGAGAATAGTACAGTAGTTCCCAGGTCTTTCCCCTAGGTTGTAACTTATTAGCTCAAACTATGTAGCACACCTGTCCTTTCTCACTGAAGCATTCATTATCTCTCACTTTTCTTCTTGCTTACTTGGCTTATTTAAAAAAAAAAAAAAAAAAGCAAAAGCAGAGAGCTTAAGTAAAAAAGGTGAAGTGTCAGCCTTCACTTGAGTCTCGACATAACTATCCTATCCAACAGAGCCCAGAACACACAGGAGGTTCTCATCAACTGTGAAACTTAGCAATATGATCCACATTTAGCTTAAAACTATGTGAAAATCCTCACTAGGTCTCAGTAGAATCCTACTAAGAGTGCAACTGTATATAGTCCTTGTGAAGCTCTGTTAGGTATACCATTTCACAATCAACACATACGCTTCTCAAGTCAAAATAGTCTGAGTGTAAAATCAACAAAAACAAACCAACATCAGGCCTTCTATTCTACAGATACGAACACAATTTTTATTTGGGGTACCTCTTCACCTATTTTTTTTTTTTTTTAAGTTTAAGGACCAAATCTGGGCTCATTATCTTGGCTCTGTCATTTACAGCTTTTACTGTGCCTTAGTTTCCTGATACGGGGGAAGTATCTTCCATAAAGGGTTTTGTGAAGGGTGAACAAATCAATCAGGTCTCTTTAACAATGTCTGGCACAGCATAAATAATAAATCACCAGCTATAATTGTTACTATAAAATAACTAGAATTCAATGCACAAAAACACCTAACCCCTCCAAAATGGTTTATCATTTAAATGCTGACCAACATTCCATGAAAAAAAATTTTTAAATCATGTCATTAACATAAAACCCAACATGTCTTGGTTAGCAAGAGCAGAATTGATACTTTGTAATAATGAAAGTATAGATTTAGTTAGCTTGTCCAAATTATCATTTTAATATGCTTATCATCACTACTAAGTAACCTCTTATATATATTATTTAACCTAAGAGGCTTAATGAACAATCATGAAAAGACTGTGACATGAGGAATTCTTAAATACTATGTAAAAGATGTTGATTTCTGGCAAGTTCTACCATCCCCAGAGCAGGTTAGTTGTGCCTAATGTCAACATTGATTAAAATATTCCTAAATCTACAAAGGATTATTTCCATTATTTTAGACTCATTCAGTACTATAATAATTCCAGTTAATCATTATTTCCTTCATTTTGTTTTTATTATAGCATGTTTGCTTAATTTACAGCAAGCAGAAAATAAGCTGGGTCTTGTTTTGATCCAAACATTGATGTTTTTAAAGGTTGTACACAATATTTGTTAAAAAGAACATATAAAAATACCTTTTTAGAAGCTTCTATAAGAAAGAAAATACAAAGTTTAACCCCACAACTTTCCTCTTTGCTAGAACTGCAAACTACTGCTACAGTTTTAAATAGACTTTTTGTTGTTTAAACTATACATCCAGGAAAATCTAAAAAAATTAAAGAAACGTGCATATAAATGATTGCATAGCAGAACAAGAACATTAACTGCAAACAGTAAAGAAACAAAAGTTAGAAATACTATTAAATATACAAAGATTCTAGAATTAATCCTCCAAACACATTCCACAAACAGTTTTTAAAAAAAAAAAAAAAAAAAAAAAAAAAACCCATCTTTTGTTCTCTACAAGCAAGGCCTAGATTTCTAAAATCAAAATTCAGAGGAAAAATAAGGTAATCCTCTAGAAGGATCATTCCCCCACAGCATCTCCACTCACTTCTGTAAGCAGGCAGTTGAGATTTTAAAGATGCTTGCTTTTTATTCTGAAATGACACTGGACATTTCAAGTCATTTTTATTACCTCCAAATGGTCTTGAAGAGAAATACTAGAAATTATAAATATTTAAGGGTATCACTTCCTTGTTTTAGTCACATCCTACATTATCAAAAACTAAGTAATGTGGCTTTTCCTTTAAAACTCAACTTTCCCCCAAAATTCACGGCACCACAGAATCACCTAGGAGTGTCATCTTTTCAACTTGCCTACATTAATTAATAAAGTGAGGTGTGAAGAGCAAGCCTCCCTCATGAAGAGGGCAGGCAAACTGGGACACAAATGCACATACCAAGTGCTGTAAGTAAGCATCAAAATTCACTTTGTTTTATACTGTGAATATAAACAAAATGTACTTTTAGTTTACTTGCTCCTAACAGAAAAAACAAACAAAACCAAACCCCTAAGTAACAATGATCAACAATAGTTAAATTTTAGAGAAAGTATATTAAGAACAGTCTTTTCCCCTTAATATGATTTCCACCATCATTGATGTGCTCAAAACTTTAAGGGGGAATTTGTTTCTAATCTTAGAAACCAGTGGGGAAGATAGGGGAAAGCAGTGAAGGCTCCATGTTTCAGTGAAAAGTTCTATCTCCCTGAAAAGACTATTTAACCCAGTTGGCATCATTCCCCAGACAGTGGAGTTAATAAAACAAAACAAACAACAACCCCCCAACAAACAAAAAACCCCAAACAAAACAAACAAACAAAAAAACTATTCCACATTGCATCATAAATAATTACCATGGGCTTAGACATCTTGACAAGACATAAAGGTCCACCCTGAACCTAAATGTGTCTGAGCAGTCAGTGTTGTAATGTGGCTACAACTTCACTTTTGTATCATTCTATCTTATTAGCAAGCTACATTTCTAGGTTAACAGTTCTAACAAATATGGATATGAAAATTTATTTTTAATAAGACAATGTTGCAAATTATGGTCACCAACATCTTTTCACCAAATACTTCAAGCATAAAAAATGAGAATCTTTACAAAAATATACAGAGACACCACAAATTGGTAGCTGCCCATAACATTAAACAAACTGGACTCTTAAGAGTGGCTTCTCAACAGCATTTTAATTATAACCATTGCCCGGTACAGGGAAAACTAACAAGTGTTTGTTTTTTTATTTTATTTTTTTTAAAACGCATCATTGCAACATTGTATTCCTGATAATTTAAGTATACCAAACTATGAGTAAATGAATGATACATGCCTAGAAAGTATCATGATTTATACTATCAGTGGCCACTGGACTTGGGACTAGTCCAAGACCTTGACCTAGATTTTGACCTAGACCTAGACTGTGATCTTGACTGAGATTTGGATCTAGGTGGTTCTTTTTTCCTTGATTCCTTTTCATATCTTGAGCCAGACTTATAATGTGTTTTGGAATCTGTTTTAGAGGTGCCTCTAGTTTTGGTGTGAGATGCAGACCTAGAACGTGATTTAGCCTTCATTTCTTTCTTGGGCTGGGACTTGGACCGTGATCTTGAATTGGATTTAGATCTTGAAAAAGATCGATTTCGGTGTTTGAATCTTTCAAAACAGAGGAGAGATACAATTAGAGTAAAAATTAGATTCTATATAAATCAATTTTGTTACTTTTAGAGCAAAAGTTCACTCTGAAATTGAAAAACACAAGTCTTTTTCAAAGCAAAATTATTTACCTATCATTGTCGGAATGGCTTCGGCTACGCCGTGGTCTTCCAGTCGGTCTACTGCTAAAAAGCATAGCAGAAAAAGCAAACAGTGACAAATGTCTATTTATAGTCTTACTTTTTAAAAGCACCAAAACACATTTAGTCCTAATGAAACATCCAACACACACCCCATCAACCACCCAAAACTTTAAAAAATATATTTAAAAACATCTCTTTTTTTAAGGGCCTTACAGTATTTTATTGCTTAAGTGAGCCTAAGAACTCCTGGGTTCATGTGGTCCTCCCATCTCAGTCTTCTGAGAAGCTGGGATTATAGGTAAATGCCATTGTAGTTGGCTACAAACATTAAACAACAGATCATCGTATCCCACACTTACTTTCTAGGACTGTAAGATCTCCTATAGTTGTAATCAAAAGAGCGACTTCTTGATCTTCTCCTTTCATAACTTCGGCTCCGAGAACGTCTATATCGATCATAGTCATCGTATCGTGAAGAGCTGTACACATTCCTCCCTTCCTTGGCTTTCATTTGATTTGGTGCTAGGGAAACAGAATACAAATACTTAGAAACATTAAGACCTTAGCATCTAAACCCTCATACTATAGTATAACATTCCTGAATTCTTTTTTCCCCCTTAGAGATTTTATTTTTACATGTAGGGGTGATGTGCTTGCATGTATATTTGCACATGTATTACCCAGAGAGTCCAGGAGAGGGTCTGGCCTCTGGAACAGAAGATTGCTAGCACCATGTGGATGCTGGAAATCAAATCCGGATCCTCTAGAAGAGCAGTCATGACTCTTACAGAGCCATCTTTCTGTCCCTCTGTTTTGGAGGACAAAATCTCATTATACAGGCCTGGTTGGCCTGAACTCACTCTGTAGACAGGGTGGCCCCAAACTGGAGATATGTCTGATACTGCCTCCGAGTGCTGGGATTAAAGGTGTGTGTCACTATGCTTGGCTCATTCTTTCATCCTTTCTCTTACACTAAGGAAGTAAATAATGGGTTTTGTAATCCAAGGTATGCCTTTGTTTTGGTGTGACAGGCGTAACTAGAATGTGACTATTAACCACAGACTGCTTAGTGTTTAAAAAAAAAAAAAAAAAAACCAACACTAATAAATCATTGGCTTTTTTCAATGTCTTCTTGCAATTAGTTTGCTAATCAACACATGTTAACACTTTTTACTAGAGGAACAGATACCACAAGAGCATCTGAAATTCAAGATTTGGCCTATGAAGAACATGCAGCACCCAAATGCAGCAACATACAATCATGCAGTCCTGATAATCAATACATACAACAGGTGAAAGGAGCTGACACTTGTTTAATCTAGATAGCATTCCCGAGTCTAACCTTATGAATCCACCTTCAGTCATGCACCCACATAACTATCCAATTAATCCCCCCCCCCCAGAGTTTCTTGTTTAACAGCCCTGGCTGTCCTGGAACTTGCTTTGTAGACAAGGTTGGTGTTGAAGTAACTGAGATCTGCCTGCTTCTGCCTCCAGAGTGCTGGGATTAAAGGTGTTCACCAACACGCCTGGCTAATTTTCAGTTCTTTATGAGATGACTTGAGGAAAAAAAACTTGAGAAAAAAAAAAGTCCAAAATGCAACACACTGTACATGTTAGGCATAAGGATACTTACTCTTCCGATCTCCCTGTGCGAACTGTATTTCAATTTGACGGCCACAAATCCATTTTCTGTCCAAATTATGTAAAGCATCTTCAGCATCTCGAACATCCTCAAATGTGCTAAATGTTAAGGGGCTTGAGAGGCTTTGTAAACTTTAATAATAAATGGTTTGAAACAACCCACAATCACCCAATATTTTTTATCAAGACCCAACTTAACTAATTGGTCGATTCAGCCATTAATACCACAGCATAAAAGCAGTTGCAATTAATTATATCTTATACTACAAAAAGTGTATAAAGTATACACTTTTAAAGAAACACATGTAAATACATGCTGTAAGATATTCTATAACTGAACTACCAAGGTACACTAAAAAGACCTCCACATTCTAATTAACTTTATAAAACAAGATATAAAAATAGAATATGCTTTACAATAGATGAAAAAAATTTTCAGATACAGGCAATACTATTCTTCATATAGTTGTCTTCCTTGCACTGCACAGGAAAGACAAGCATGCTAGTCATTTATAAGCATTAAGTCAGAGTCAAGCAATACACCCAGTCACTATGCCAAATGCATATTCCATCCATGCAGACTATAAAAGCACACTATTAACAAGTGGCATAAGGACTCCTGGAATGAAAAGCCTAACTATGATCTTAAATCCACAGCTTCCTGCAGAAAGCATTTCAGACCGGTTCCCACTTGAGTCATAACATTTATTACCAGTACTAAGTAAAAACAAACAAAAAACCACTTCTTCATCTAAGAGATGAAGGTGCTTTTCTCATGTCAGCAACAATACTCTGAGAACCTCTAGGTTGACAGTTATTTTGTTCAAACATCTTTTCTTAAAAAAAAAAGAAAAAGCACAAAATGTACATTCTAAAGGGAGCTAAGGATGCGAAAGGCCCTATCTGAGAGCTGATTTTTGGAATGGATTTTCACTACATCCCAAAATAATGACTAAGCACATCCAGTTCAATTTTTTGAAACATTAGAAGTGAAGGTTTGGAGCACCAATTAAGAAAATAACCCCAAATTTTAAGACCAACATATTTACTCCACAGACAAACACTGTGTACTTCAGCCTATCACTAGACCTCCACTTTTTGTTCTGAAAGAAATAACCAAGGTGTCTCCCTTGAGCCTATTACAAGTAGATTAAACAGGAGGTTTTCCAAGGTCTCAAATAACCCTGCATCCAACTTTTATAAAAAGGCTGACTTGATAGAACCTTGAATGCTGTAAATAAACATTCCTCAAGGTTAACTGCACTTAGATGCTAAACTAACAGGAATTGGATCACTAGCATATTGTTTTGTTACCCCGAGATAAGAATATAGTTTAAAAACAGAATCTTGGCCTGGAGGGCAAGGTTCTTTAATTTACCTACCTCTTAAATCAAGGATAGAAAGAGAAGGCTAACTGGGAAGAGACACATGGAAAACAGCAGCAGTAGGTAGGGACAGCCAGGTATCACTATATTGACCACCAAGAAATCTTTATGTTCCCCAGAATGAAACTAATTTACCACCTACTCTGGATTTTACTACCCATTACCGCCAAGTACAACATACTTCTGAGGTAAACTAGTGCTAACATTGTTCCCAGGTTACCTCAAACCACAAAAACCTTGAACAACATTATAAGCCGGACTGGATCAATGCCAGATATAGGCATTATCCTTTAAGTTTCACAATTAATTTACAAGGTTCTCCTGACCACTGGCCCCACACAAGCACCTTTTTGGCTTTTTGTCTGAGTTTCACTAAGCATTTACAAGGTCAGAGTTTCAAAAAACTGAAATTTAAGCAACAAAAAAAGTTTCCTGGCTTCAAATTCAGCCTTTCCCTCCAGTCCCTCCCCCTTATTTTGGGCAGGGAAATGACCTTACAGAAGGTGGGCAGAAATAAGATCACTGGCCTTACACCCAGGGCAAATTGATCTACTATATGTTCTAAGCTATGCATGGCCAGCAGGATTCTAAGAATCAGGGGGAAAAAAAAAAAAAAAAGAGCCAAAACCCCAAAAGGAAACTATCTCTACATATTTCTAGTGGCTATGCCTTAGAACACCCCAACTGTTTTTCTAAGTAGTTACCAGTGCATGCAGCTGTCTTTCCCCTTTAGGTAGGGCTCTGTGACTCAGTTTAAGTCAAAGAGCCTCTGATCACCTGGTCAAAAATGCAATTATGCTGACTTTAAACTTAACAATATTATATCTTGCTTGATAAGATAGGAGAAAATACACTCATACAAGACCGCAATCACAATATCAAAGGCCCACACAAATTCAAGTTACAGGTTTTGTCACTAGACCAAACCAGCATAATTATGAAAATTAACTGCTTGCAAAACATAAAAAAAAAAAAAAAAAAAAAGGAAAGTAGTTATTCTGTAGGATACATCAGGTATGACTCCTTTAATCTTGGCCATCATTCAACTTCATCTTGACCTTTAACTCTTTTAGTGCTTGTCAGAAGGACTTGTCATGAGATGCTTGGTCAAATATGACAGATGGCTTTATCTTTAACTTTGAAAAACAACCTTTTCCCCCTCTGTGGTAAAGCGAGGCTCTGTCTCCCATTAGGCTTGTCCTTCTTCCAGCTTTTCTGTATTTTTCTTTTCCCAAACTCTCCCTTCTCTTCAAGCCTGATCCTTAAGAGGTCTTTGGCTTGTCTACTTGCCTTAAGTGTTGAACTCTACTCTAAAAGTTCTTTCATGCTTTCTCTTTGGGGTCGCCATAACTGTACAGCTTTACATTCTGAGGTAACAACAGAGGACAGCAAATTAGGGGACAATATTAAAGAAGTTTACCTCATTGTTATACAATTTGTTTTGATCAAGTGATTCAAAATAACAAACAAGATTACTAAACTTTAATTGCTAAGCACAAGAACACATTAACTTTTAATTTACAGCAAAGGTAGTAGCAACCAATGTATCCAAATTTAAATCACATTATAATCACTGATTTGAGTTTCAGCAGCATGGATGGGAATTTAAATGTTTATTTTTGGATTAACTTTAAGAAATAGAGCAATGAATCAGAATTTTAAAAGATTTCAAGACATAAGACAGAGGACAAAAACAGACTGTTTTTAGATGTTACCACTTACATAAAAACTTGAATTTCAAACTTCAACACCCCTCACTAATCATCCATCTGAAGAAAGGATATTGAACATATGCAAATCCTCTTGGACGTCGAGTGTAGAAATCAAGTGGGACATAAACATCTACTATTGGACCATAACGACCAAATTCCCGACGTAAATCTTCAGACCTAAAACATCATGAAATAACTCAAACTTTTTATGTTCATGTTCCAGCAATTACATTTCAGTATTATCTTTAGGAATTAAGGAATGTAAGGATTGTGGTTGACAAAAGTATAACCCATGGACTCCTATATTCCTGTCCTGGATATGTGAAAGAAGCAAGTCTCCCAAATCTCAAAGGTAGCATACACCTTTTACCAGGGAGGCAGAGGCAGGTGGATCTGAGTTGAAGGCTTGCCTGGTCTTCACAAGGAGTTCCAGAACAGCCAGGTCACATGAAGAAACCCTCTCAAAAAATCGAAAGACAAACACCCACCCCCAACAAAACAAAAAGCCCCACACCCTACAACAGGTAGCCAACATTTAACTCCAGCACTGTGACAGCAGAGGCAGGGGAAATTTGTGAGTTCCAGGTAAACCAGGGTTACATAGTGAGATCCTGTCACACACACAAAACCCAAAGCCAACGAAACAAACAATTGACACAAAAATAAAACCCAAGTGTGGCAGCTCACCTGTAACCCAAGTACTGGAAAAGCTGAGGTAGGAGGAGTTCAGAGGCAGCATGGGCTACAGTCTAAGCTGGAAAAAGGGGCGGGGAGAAGCACTCTGTGGGGCTGGGCATGGTATCTGAAGCCAGTAACCAAGTTGGATAAGGCAGGATAAAGTGTAGGTTCAAAGCCAGCCTCAGACAAATCATGGTCTATACCTGAGACCCTGTCTCCAGTAAGAGAAGGGGGAGGTGCTTATAAGCCTATTATTATTTTACATGTCAGTAAGTAATTACAATTAAAAAAAAAATAACAACCAAAAACACCTCAGTGTTTACCATTTAAAAAAAAGCATGTCTTCTAAGTTTTTAAAAACAGTAATTAATTAAAGCAGGATGGTGGTGTCGAATGTCTTTAACCCCAACAGAGGCAGGTGGATCTCTGAATTCCAGGCCAGCTGGTCTCTCTCTTTTTTGGTTTTTCGAGATAGTTTCTTTGTATTGCTTTGGAGGCTGTCCTGGAACTAGCTCTTGTAGACCAGGCTGGTCTCGAACTCAGATCCGTCTGCCTCTGCCTCCCAAATGCTGGGATTAAAGGCATGCACCATCAATGCCGGGGTCTTATTTTCTCTCTTTTAAGGTAGGGTCTCATCCAAGCGCAAGTTGACTTGGAATTCAAGGCAATCCTAACTCACTCAACTTCCCAAGTGGTAGAATTACAGGCTTAAGGCATCATGCCCAGCTTACCCTAAAATTGTTCAACAGATCAGCCAACAAAAATGTGAAATAATAAAACCAAAATATCTAAACCCTTAAATGTCTAAAGGGAGAGTTTTATAGCCCTTAATTAACCACTTTTGTTTTATGCTTAATGATGAGGAAATAAAACCCTACAACATTAACAAAAAACTCAGTTTTTCTTTGGAGATTATTTACAGACACGAAGCATGATCGTGTGATTAAAAATCTCTTCCAAAAATTTCCGAGGGCAATTCAAAGCAGGGAAATCGCTGAAAATAAAGCCTTAACCAGCTGGCCTCTAACTCCTTCCTAGACCCGTCTGAGTGCTGGGGCTACGCCCGGCGAGGTCTACTTAAGTACCGCCTCTGTTCGTCTAAGTTAACTACGAAAGTCCTAAAGGGAGGGATGTATTCTGCACTCCGCTTTCAAAGCGATTTCCGCTGAACGTGAGGGAATACTCCATTTAACCGGAAAATTGTAGTTTCTCAAATCGCAACAATCCCTCTCTCTCCCCTATTATCTCTAACCCATTAACACCATCCACACAGCTGGGGAAAATAAAGCTACAAACTCCCCACCCCCCATCCCGTTATTCCTCATTAGCATCTTCTCCGTTTTCTGACTTGGTGAAAGGGGCTCACTTCGTGGCCCGAGCTGACCTCGAACTCGCGCCGACCCTCCCGCCTCGGCCTCCCCGAGTGATGGGATCACCGGCTAGTGCCGCCCCGCCTGACAATCTTTTCTGTTTGGACAACAAAAATCCCTTTCAAGGCGAGGGGGCGTGCACCCCACGGAACGTGGACGTCGGATCAATGAGAACACTCGTCCGGCCCGCCAGGCTGGATATGCCAGGAGCACGCGGGGAGGAAGGCTCCCGAGTGTCGGGCCCCCATGCCCGGTGGCGGCGCGGTTCACCCGGCCCGGGGCCCGCCCTCCTTCCCGCAGGCCAGCAGAGGCCGGCGGCGCGGCCTAGTCCCGCGCGGGCCCCGCCATCTTCGCCCCGCCCCTCCCCCGCGCCGCCGCTCGCTCGCCCGCCGTGCGCCCGCGGCCTCCCCCGCGCAGTAGCTGCTCCGGTGCTCTCACCTGGTGTCGTCTGCCACGTTCCTGACGAACAGAGACGTGTTGGGGGGGCGCAGGTAGCGAGACATGGCGGCGGGCGTCTGGGCCAGCGGCACTAACGGGCTCAGCAAACCGTCCGCGGTCCTGGCGGCGGCTCACATCCACTCACACACTCCACAGAGCCAGAGGGCTCCGCTACGGCAACTGCCTCTTCTCGCGAGACTTCGCTCCCGCCTCCACTCCCCGCCCCCTCCCCTGCCTCCCTGCAGCAGCACCGGCACGGACAACGGCTTTTTCACGCGAGATCTCTGTGCGCGCGCCTGCGCGCGCTGCGGCCTGACGCACGCCCCGCGGCCTGATTGGCTCCAGACGCAGGCTCTTCCCCTCCCCTCGGCCCGTTCTTTCTTTTCTTTAGCGCTTCATTTTCCCGCCCTTTTCTGCCTTGCTACTCCGGCTCCCCCACCTCATATTGGCAAACGGATGCTTTCAACTACAACGGATGGGTTTTTCAGCCTCAGAACTCGGGGAGACTGCGCTGAGATCTTCTGGTCCGAATCGTGCCTCCGTTTTTAGTCGGATCCCTGATTGGAGCTTACAGTTTCTTTGCAGGGCTCGATTTGGGAAGGGGGATGTGCAGCCAGCATGACCTGTGGCTCCAGAGGTTTCTGCTCGGCTTGCACGCACTCTGCCGCTGTGAGACTGCCGTTGCCGCCCCCCCCCCCACCCGATGAGAGCTGGGCCAAGTCTCTGCTGTCCTTGTATTCATGTACTATGCAAAGTACATATATGGGAAAGGTTCTCTTTCCTTATCAATTTTATGAAAGCCTTGATGAGGTATTCTTTCTTTCTCTTGTTGCTTTCTGGGGACCCAGTCTAGGACCTTGCTTGTGCCAGCCAATTCTACCGCAGACCTGCACCTTAACAGTTACTGACACACTGTCATTATCCCCTTTTTTTCTGTCATTATCCTTCAGTTTCCAAAGATACGCTGGCAAAATAAATCCTTGGGTTTCTCTCCTATGTAACTGCTGGAAAATGGATCCAGGGCTTTGCACGAGCTACATGACACTCTTCCACTGAGCTACTTTCCCTAGTCTATAGAATGCACTAAGGGTCACAAACTAGGACTGAAGAGATTGGTCCTCAGTACTCATACTGGGTGGGTCACAAGTGCCTGTGACACTCGCTCCAGGGAACCTAGTGCCCTCTTCTGGACTTCAGGGGCACCAGCTGTCATGTGCACATACCTACACACAAACACTGACTCACAGACACACCCCTAAGCTACAGCTGGCTTTGGTAGCACAAACCTGTGATCCAGGTACTCCGGAGGCCTCGACAGGCAGATTAGTAACAGAGAATTCAAGGCCGACCTGGACTACATAGTAACAAATTGTCTCACCACCCCCACCCCAGAAAAAAAAAAAAAATCAAACCGCTCCAGGGCTTGGAGAGATGTCTCAGTAGTTATAAGTAAGTCCTCTTCCAGAGTACCTACCTTCAGTTCCCAGCACCCACGTTGGGGGATGGGGCTCATAACCACTTGTAACTCTAGCGTCCTCTCTGGCCTCCTAGGGCACCCACATGCATGTGAGCATATATACAGATAATTGAAAAATAAAACCAACAAACAGAAAATCAACACCTCCACACACATACTAAAGCACACACACTCAAACTCAAAAATACTTCTTAGAAATGAAAACAGAACCAAATCTTAAAATGTGGCTTATATTAACTAATATTTACTGAGGTCGAACTTACAACGGAGAGGATGCGCACATCTCATTCCCCTTCAGATACATAGCCCTGGTAAACGGAGGTTTATGGAGAGGGTGAGAGAATAAGGAGAAAAGCAAGAAATGAGCACTTCTGGCCACCTGGCTTTCAGGAACATTGTGCAATTTACCAAGATACAGATCTGCTGAAGGGGTAGAGTGGAGGAAGACTGTGGCGGTCTGACACCCGTGGTAGTTTGAATATAATTGGCCCTCATAATCCCACTATGAGGAGGTGTAGCCTTGTTAAAGTAGGCGTGGCCTTGTTGGAGGAAGAGTGTCACTGTGGGGGCAGACTTTGAGGTCTCTCTTTGTTCAAGCCTCACTTAGTGTTAACAGTCTACTTCCTGTTGTCTTCTGATCAAGATGTAGCAGCACCATGTCTGCCTGTGTGTCGCCATGTTGCCTGCCATGATGACACTGCACTGAATCTCTGAAACTGTAACCGAGTCACCTACAAACACCACTTCATGAAAGTAATGCCAGTTTTTGTTTTCCTTCAATCATTGCTTTATTGCAAGATGGTATAATTACTTTAAACTATAATGGGGTAATTTGAGTGGGGCAATATTGTTGCAATTGTTTATTCAGAAGAGACTGGGAAGATGGCTCAGTGGCTTAGGGCAAGTGCTGCTCTTCCAGAGGTCGAATTAAGTTTCCAGCATTGGTGTTAGGTGACCCACAACTGCCCGGAACTCCAGTGCCCTCTCCTGGCTTCCACAGGCACTTGTGCATATGCCCCCACACAGACACATGTACACATTAAAAAAAAAAAAAAGTTTTTAAAGTGATCACCAAATGACTCTAAAACCACAGCAAGGATTAGAAAATACCTGACTAGGTTGGGCAGTGGTAGTGCATGCCTTTAATTCCAGCACTGGGGAGGCAAAGGCAGGCCAACCTGTGTGAGTTTGATACTAGCCTGGTCTACAGAGGGAGTTTTGGGACAGCCAGCTCTGTTACACGGAGAAACCCTGTCTTGAATGTACCCCCCCCCCAAAAAAAAAAGAGAGAAACACCTGACTGGCTAAAAGATACAATTCACTAAATGAACATTTTTAGGAAGGGCTCTGTAATCTTAGTAATAACACAGAGAATTTTGCCATGTAGATTAGTTCTATTGGTCAACTGTTCCTGGCTGTCACAGTTGAGATAGGTGTATTTAAATGGCACGTTACACTTGAGCCTTCTCTGGGAGAAGCTTTGAGTCTGCAGTGTACTTGGCAGCCATCTCCCTTTCCTGCCATGTTAAGATGCTCTCTGCCCCACCTACTTCTACACCCAGTGTATCAAGGGTCCTCATTCTTTCCTATGCATCATATTCCATATAGAAATACAATACTGCAGGCAATTCTTTACCCACTTATATGTTCTAGGTACCATCCAGAGAGGCAACCTCCAAGGCCACGGTAGTGCCATTTCTCTGTCCACAAGAAAAAGGTAGTGGTTCATTTGAACCAGAGACTTCTCCAATTCCCTTGCATCCTGGATTTGTCGGATGGGTGTTGGCATTGCTTCTTCTGGTGAAACAATGTTTTGCTCACTGAATTTACTAATAAATTCTCCAATAGAGACACCATATTTTTTTCTTAATTACACAGACATTTAACTCTGCTATTGATATGGGCTCTGGGTAAGCACGAATATTTCTGTGGGTAGAAGATACAAGGTAAGCCAGGCAGTGGTGGCTCACACCTTTAATCCCAGCATTTGGGAGACAGAGGGAAGCAGAAGTCTGAGTTTGAGCTAGTCTGGTCTACAGATTGAGTTCCAGGACAGCAAAGGGTACACAGAGGAAACCTTGTCTTGAAAAAAAATCAAAAACCAAAAACCAAGTTAAATCTTCCATGCACCTAGAGCCCTATTACACCAGTTTTTAACATAATTTTATTTTATCTGTGAGAGTTTTGAATGCATGTATGTCTATGCACTGTGTATGTGCCTGGTGCCCTTGGAGGTCTGAAGAAGGATTCCCTGGTTCTGGAATTACGGACTGTTGTGACTCAGCATGTGGGTGCTGGGAACTGACCCTGGGTCTTCCATCAGTAACAAGTGATCTTACCTGTTGAGCTACCACTTCAGCCTGTTACACCAGTTTTAGAAGAAAAGAAATGGAAGAATTCTTTTTATTTATTTAATATTTCTTCTTATTTTACATATTGATCCCAGTTTCCTCTCCCTCCCGCTGCCCCCTGCCCCCATGGAGTAGGTGGGCTGTCAGCAGAGGAATAGGAGGTGAGAGAGGGAGAGAGAACATGTATTGGCTAAGGTATCATTGGCTGGCCAGGAACTTGCAAAGTAGACCAGGCTGGGCTTGAATTTGCTGGGATTCCCCTGCTTCTCCCTCCCCTGTGATACTTTTACAGTAAGGCTCCAGTGTTAGTCTCTGAATCACAGACTCCAAAGACACTGTAGTCTTAAAGACAGTGGGTCACAACCACTTTAACCTGTGCCTCCAAAAATATTTACATTAAGATTCATAAGCCAGGCATGTTGGTGGCACACGCCTTTAATCCCAGCACTCAGTAGGCAGAGGCAGATGGATCTCTGTGAGTTAGAGGCCAGCCTGGTCTCAGAGCTAGTTCCAGGAGAGACAGGCTCCAAAGCAATACAGGGAAACCCTGTCTCAAAAAACAAAAACAAAACAAACAAAATCCAAAAAGATTCATAACAATAATAACATCTCAGTTATGAAGTAGCAACAAAATACTTTTATGGTTGGGGTCACCACGACATGAGGGCCTGTATTAAAGGGTAGCAGCATCAGGATGGTTAAGAGCCACTGCTTAAAGATATGATTGGGATTATTTCAGAAAACTACTTTCAGAAAACTGGCTCTGCAGTTAAGAGCACATGTTGCAACCACACGGGGAGGCTCCTGAACTTTGGAAATGCAGCTCCAGGGAGGGGATCTGATGCTTCTTTCTAACCAGCCCAAGCACTGCACTCCTGCGCACATACCCACTCGCAGACACACGTATAATTAAAACTAGAAATACTATCTTTACAAAATAGCGGGATGGGGCTGGAGAGATGGCTGAGTGGTTAAGATCACTGACTATTCTTCCAGAGGACCCAAGTTCAATTCCCAGAACCCACATGGCAGCTCATTGCTGTCTGTAACTCCAGTTCCAGGGGACCTGTTACTTTCATACAGGCATGCATGCAGGCAAATCACCAATGCAAACGAAATAAAAATAAATAAATAAATATAAAAATACCTTAAAAAAATAACTGGGCATAGTGGTGCATGCCTTTAATCTCAGTGTTTGGGAGGCAGAGACAGGTGGATCTCTGTGAGTTTCAGGTCAGCCTGGTCTACATAGCAAGTTCTAGGCCAGCCAGGGCTGCAAAGTAAGAACCTGTTTCTAAACAAATAAACAAATACATATGATAACACTTTCCGGAGCCAGGGAGAGGC